GGTTGATACGTAAGGAGGAACGCGTTGCTATGCCGGGGAAAAGACTAAAGACACCTTGGGGAATGCGGAAAGCGAAAAGACGAAGAAGCGAGCCGAATATATCTTGATCTCGGGCAACGGGGGGAGACAAAGACGTTACGGTGTATCGTCGATTGCACCTTAACACCCGACGTATCTCTGTCTTAATCTGTAACGAGTGAATCCATCTCGTCCGCATTCGCTCGACGTCCCGATCGCTCGAGAGAATTGTTCTGCGCAACCCAACCCGGTCTCTCGGGCGATCTTCATCATCGCCGAGTAACATTAATTTAATGGCTCGTGCTTAAATTGAAAATTGATACCGCCTGTTTTCCGTTTGCCGAAATTTCATCGCCATTGTCGTACTTGAGTCCATCGCTGCGACTTGTTTACTCGCTTACCCGCTGAGTTACGAGTCATATCGCTTAAAAGCACCAACGTGTCTCCTGGAGCGACGAATGGACAAATAATAATAAAATGCATAACATTCTCACTCGGTACATCGTAAGAATCCATAAGAGTAAGTGACACTTGCAGCTATTTATAATAGCGGTTATCGATGGCTCGTGCCCCGATGGGGGCACGAAAATTTTTTTCCTCGATATAAAAATCGTTTTACGGCCTCCTTACATCGAGTCTTTAAACCGTGGATACGGGCCGTTCGGAAAATGGGCCACATCGGCGACAACTTTAACCGTCGCAAATTTCTCCGTGCCGAGACTATCACGGCACTTCACAAGGAGTTCTTCGCGCAGCGCGATATACACCGCTAACTCAATAACCTCCTTATTCCCTTCGACCTCATTTCCGCGCCCGTCGAACGTTACACCAGCCCTGGCACGTCGTCTCTTAAAGCTGATGGCCCGACGTCGGGCGCCGAGAAAAATAGATTGATAACGCGGCGACGTGCGAAGGCGCGGGCGCGAAGCTAACGATGCGGAATTACGAAAGGCGTTATCGGTGGAAACATTTCGCCTACTATGCGCTACAATGTCATATCCGATAACGCTATAGTCGCGCGAATATAAATATTTGATGACGTTAAGCCCATGACGCGACTATATTTTATACGTGGTACGGTGTACTTTTGACAACGTATGTGTGTATGCATAGGATTTATTTATTACATGAATATTCTACAACATCGCGTCGAACGTCACGTTTTAATCTTATACGCTAAGGGGACGATCCATTCGTTCAATCTCGGTCTATGAACATAGCAAGTCGAAACTTTCTCGGCGTTTACCTTGAAGTGAACAGCTTGAAAGATAACAGAATCGAACGGAGTTTTACTCTTGCGTAATCGAAAACGTATATATCGTTTTAAGATATTTCACGATTTTCGCGAGACCTGTCAATAACGTTGCATTAAAATTTACCGGTCTTCAATTTACTCAAGTCCTCGGTCCTCCAGCTGACACTGATTAATTTGATTATGCAATTCGCGTCGTTCTACATTCTCGATAGCGAATATGCGCGGCGCGCATATGAAAAATACATAATTCTTCGACAAAAGTGCCAATAATACGCACATCATGTTCCTCTGACCGGCGTACCGCGATATTTCACGCCCGGGGGTCGGGGGATCGGGGGTGGCGCGGCATAGCGCGGGGTAGTGTGTATGTACCGGGACGCCACACGCGAGCCATTTTATTTTGCAATATAATGCTTGACTCCTCGTCGTCCGCGCGGCTTGACATATTGGACGTGATAGGGAGTAATCTGTTATACCGCCCTGTGTCCACGATAGAAGCCCGCAGGCGGCACCCTCCGCCCATCCCCGTTGCATCTACGGTGCATTGGAACGACCGATATATTTCCCGGCATACTTCCGTACGGATTCGTATGGGGGAAATATAGTGGCGCGAGCGCGAACACGAATGCGTGAGCCGGATCGACGATAAATCAGACCGCAACCGTAAATAAAATCTTATGGAAACATTCGAGGGAAAGAGGTAACGTCTTTCCCGTCCTCTTTCCCAAGCCAATTTGAGATTATCCGCGTGACGTGGGATGCTTCGGAGAACGATTATTGACTTGGGAGGTAAATAATGTATGCGAGAACAGTGGATGACACTCTGGTGAATAAATGCGCAAACATTAGTTGGGGAAGGGCTGTTGTCGATATTGCGCAGACACAGCTGAGACAGGTATCGTAAAATACGTTTCGCGCGTCACATGTTGTTTTACTTATGTGACGCGCTCATGTGTATTCCATGATTGTCGTAAAATTTGATTCGACCTGGAACGCTCCTCCGAAGTTGGATTCGTTATGTGAATATAGAAAGAATATAGAATTGAGCGCGTGATAAATCCGCTTTTCATGAATTGCATTCACGTACTTAAATATATAACACTATTGTGATCTTTATTTTCCGTCATTGTTTAATTCGTTTAGATACTTCTAGCCTAAGACTTAGAGACAGAGCGAAAAAAGACTCAAACAAAATAAAATTAGTATTTTTTCTCTTTTATTATGTAATTTATTTATAAAATATCTTCCGACGGATAATAGGCACGGATTGAAATCGGAAAAACAGGGGAGGCGACTTTCAGGACGACTCTTTACAATTAATCGCGCGAGAATTAGGATATGTCTGGAATTCGAAAGGCATTTCAGATAATCCCGAATGGCGTTGCGCAATATTCCGACGAACGCATCGGTGCATCCCGATGGCGCATGTCTATCGAAAAAGCAAAGAGATCTCTCCGCTGTAGTTTCGCTTGGCTGAGGCCAGGATCAGGGATGGCACTCGAGACACACCCGGGGGATTTTGGGACGAAAAGTTCCGCTAGAAACTCCGCTCTCTCTCGCTTATCCAGAAACCTTCAACCATCCTCTCTTCCCCCACGTCGCGCCTCCGTAGCTGCTTTTCATAGCGTATAGAGTCAAACTGCATATAGTTTTCTCTCGCAAACGCGCACACGCGCCGATCCGGTTGAAAGAAAGGAATCGCGAAAATACATATAGACCGTGAAATTTCTAAACGGGATTTCGCGCGGCCAATTTCTAGCCGCCGCTTAACCCATCCCCTGCGTTTAATTACCGCGATAACGAGCTTTGTAAAACGGTCAGAATTTTAGCTGCAGAAAAAGAGATTAAGCGAGCCGAGTTTACTCTGCGAGATGGTGTAAGTCAAATTTATACAAAATTCAACGATTTTAAACAAGATGCATGGGCGCGATTCAAGATAAGCATTTAACGAGATTTGCTTTATTTACTCCATTTGCGCAACGCGTAACGCGCATCGGCGAGAAATTGCTCCCAGTTTTAATTTAATTAATCGAAGATAAATGTTCGAGAATGGTGTAAGAAGAAAACGATCCTCGTAGCGCTACTTTCGATTTGACACAATATAAGGAGAGGTATACAGAGGTATACGAATATTCTAACCCAAACATCTAATCCTACGTAGCGTGTGATTAATTATCGACACATATCGAGCTGATTAATCTGATTAATCGTAAGCTCTCTCGGGAACTGCGAGCTATTAGCGACGCCCTACTGATTTCCCGAGCGTTCACGGTATAAATTATTCGCCATCTTAATAGTACGCCTTCGCAATTGCTCGTTATTTTACAGCCTGATCGCAGTCTCGGGGAGATTAACGTCGGAGATTCGAGCATTTTCGCCTTGAAAATATTTTACGGCGCGTCTCCGACTGATTCCACGATAGGATGTTATATACGCTTTTACGAATCGCGTTAATGTACACGAAGCGTTAATATTATGATATTATGGGAGCGAAGAGCAGTCTTTTCGTGCATTCAGCATGTAAATGAATGTAGAGACAGATATGCAAATCACACCGGCGAGTGACACCGAGGTATTCTACGGCCAACGTATTTTGCAAGTACACGGTACGATATGTTTGCGTGGATGACATTTTGGTTCAGTCGGTTTTAAAATGGAAGCAAAAGTAGATGACTTATTAACCCCGCGACAATAAAAAGTTCTAATGACATTTTTAATAAAAATAAATAATCTATTAAAATTTATATTGTATTGTATTGTCGCTAGATGTGCGTCACAGAATTCTAATTCGAATTTCCGAACTTTATTTCAATTGATGATTTTGTCGATTTAAACAGCGCACAGGTTATAAATTGTTTAAAATATTTTAAATCAAAGGATTTGACGTCAAAAGTTTAAATGAATAGATATTGATTTTACTATTATGTTCGGTATTCCATACTCATCCTGTGTGTTTTTTATGCCGATATGTTAGAAACTGGTATCGCTAAAAAATTCCTTTCGTGTAATCTTTTAGTTATAGAATTATAAATCTCTGAAGATGTCGTTATATTGAAACCCTCGAATGGCAAAAATGGAACGATCAATATAGAATATTGGTGATTCCCAATTCGATGTAGAAAGCGAATTCCTGATCAGAAATTCAAATTGAATCGAGGAAAGCAGAAACATTTCTGTCACACGAAAATTGCAATAAAGAGGGTACTGTTTTGAAAAATGACGCAAGAAGCACGGGGGTTCTTGACTTAAAGTGGATGGGCGAAAAGAAACGCAGAACCGAGGGTGTTAAACGGTCGAAACGGCATTTCCATAGGGATCCACCCATGTTATGCTCTTTGCGTGAAGAAAAATGGTGGCAGCCTCAGGTGGATCATCTAATATATACATGTTGTCGCGCCTTACAGTAGTATGAATTTCATAGCAACTGATCTTTTTTATTCATCCTCTTTTTTTAAGGAGAGCAGAGGCTTAAAATAAACAGGATTAAAACTTAGTTCCGCCGGAATTTTCTAAATCTTTACAGCTTTACCACCGGAATAAATCATATCGAGCTGACTACTAAACCGACAATTCCACTTAAGAAAATATGAACTCCACATTAATCCAAGACATCTCGTGTAAAAGGAACCGTAGCGCACCTGGGCCACCCAGTACATATAAACTCGCGCACGTAGAAGCCTCGTGCATAACAGCGCCGAGTAACATGCGAAATGCATTTCTGTTTCAGGAAGCGCATACATCATCAGATGGAGTGCGCCGCAGTTGATGGTCGTGGCGGTGCAATACATTCTTACGGGGCCCTATATGCCCCCTTACGTACCCCAGACAGCGAATTAAGACGTCCGTCGCAGGAAAAGAACCCACTGTCGTGCCGTTGACCTGGAGGAAGGGGGTCGCCGACGAACACGAGAGGAAGAGCCGAGATGATGCTCTGGTTTCTAAAATATATATATATATATATATATATTGTCGCGTATCTTTCCGCGCGGAATGCGCTTTTTGCGGAGCCGCGTCGTGCACACGGATTCTGAAGTGTGCTGATGGACAGGAAATGCGCTCGCGAATGAGTAACTGGTAACTGGTTTATGACCGACATACACCAATCTATTCTGATCTGAAATGGATTCCGATTTTGCTTTATGTACCCGCTCGCCGATCGAAATGGTCGATCATTGTGAAATCCGATTGAGAGATTTTCACAACGACAGCGAAGCATTACGTAATTTTATTCTTATTAAACGATTCTCCCGCAGATGATACCGCTGAAATACCTGGCTGTGCTCGATAAAGTCTGTTCTCTGTTATGGACGTCGTATAATTCTCGTATGAAATCGTTTTCACGCGCGGGATCGATAAGCCACCATGCTCGGTTTGATCTCACCTAAACCGAAGTTTAAAATTTAAACGAACAGCTAGAAAAACAAGCGGACAGTCCTACGATATATATTAATCGATAAGCCTTGATATTAAATAAACTCTAAATATTAATACATCACATAATGTGTCGCGGATATATTTGAAAGTACGTCAGATAATTTTAACCGAAGATAAAATAATATTTGAATAAATTTCTCTTATTGAGTTATATAACATCAAATTTTTCTAGACTAGCTTTTGTGATTTCACGAAATACATTCTTTTAATAACTTGTTTTAATAACGCGATACATGTACAATAATGTACGTGCACCATACGTGAAAATTGCATGAGATACCCTAACCATTTAACTTTAATATACGTTTTCACCAGATCGTTTATGACACGCGCGCGCGCGATATTGTATCAAATAAAACCAATGAATTTTTTTTCAATTGGTATTCAAGGGTCGTTGTTCCGTAATGTGAAAATAAAACAAGTAATGATCACAAAGACACAAAGGAATTGTGCATTTTCTCGAATGTAAATTTACGTGTAAATGTACATACACCTTGAGACCAACATGTTATGACGAAGCGTCTAAGAGATCTCTCTAGAGAATTCTCCAGGAGGAATTTGATTAATGCCTCGGCACGTGAAAAATAGCGGGGGCGCGGTTACGACTCCTTGAAATAGCGTGTCAATGACGTAAGGGTCATCGAGGAATTTTTCATGGATCGAAGAAAATGTATAATTTAGCGTACCTTCGACAAAAATTCACTAAAAACTCTAATAAAATTATAGCGGAATTACGACATAAAATGTTTTATTAGAATTGAAGTATACATCCGAATCATAATGTATACGTGCAAATAAATACGTAAATGTCACGTATTATGACGTATTTCTATATAAAAACGCAGATATTTTAAAAACGGACTTTTCTACAGCAATACGAGTGACAAAGAACAAAATACAGCTTTTGTATGAATTTTATTACACGGAAGTTGTCAGTTACGTGGACCAAAATTAAATTTATTGCTGATCAGGGCACATTATTGTCGGATAAAATTTATATCAACTTCGAATGTCCGATTTGTCGTGACGACATATTGCCCCGTGAAAATTTATAAATGCATATTCATTAAATGTTCTTCTCGTTTAATTAAGGATATATATATATACATGGCCACCAAAACGTTGTTGGTAATTTTTAATTATCATGTACGTCGTGATTATTCGCCAATTAAACTTTTTACGGAATTTTTCCATTTCTACTATCTCGAAGCCGATATATATATGTGTTCTGAATTCCACTGCCACCATATTAGAACTAATTCTGATTAAAGTTATAATATAAGATGACCATTGTCGCATGTAGAAATCCGAAAAAATTAAGATTACAAATCGCGATTTACATTTTTTAATTATTTGAAAATTAATCAATTCTCATCTAGATGTACGCCATTTGTTAGCGAAATAATCTTGATTAGTGCTACAAAAAATTCGTTCTATTCAATTACAAGCATGCTCGAAGCACACAATTTCTATCACAAGAACAATAGCTCGGAATTGAATTAATATACGGGTGCAAAATTAAATTGCTTTATGTATAAAGGAATGAATGTGTGAAGTACATTTCTCTCTCTGGTCGAAAGTCTCCGCGCAGCAGCTAATTGCCTTCCGCTCTTCTCATTTATTACATGCTCTTTACATGCGCCATTGTACATATCAAAACCTCAGTGTTCTGTCCATACTTTACGCTAATTGTTATTCTAGTTATCATTATTAGCAGCTCTTTTATATTAGAGTCGCTTAAAATTAAAGTTATACATTTAATATATCTCTTAAATTTTTATTATATATATATATATATTGTGTGCTTTTTATATTTAACAATTATATTTGAGACAGTTGCAATATTTTTTGAACAGAAACTGTTAATTACATTCACATTTAGATAAAAAATATAAAAAATTTTAAAAACGAAATTAAATTATTATTTGGCTGAAAAATCCCATCGAAAACCTCGCGTTAATTTAATTCTAAAAATCGAATATTTCTATATGGCCTTTTATATGACCCCTTTATATATGGCCTTTAGAAAAAACGAAAATCGTGAAGAGAGAGACATAACCTTGGTGATATTTCAACAATATAATATTTGCATTCTTGAGAGAAACTCGTTATCGGATGGATTGTCGATCAAAAGAAGGGATGGCAATTTTACAACTGTCTTCTCTCACGGACAGACTCCCTCTCTCCTCTCTTCATTTCGATAATACAACACGGGGATTTGCTTTAGGAGAGATGATCCATCTGGATATTAGAAACACCTTGACCGCCCCTTTATCTCCCAAACGCTCTCCGGAAATGCAAGCGCGCGTGGCGCGAAGCTCTCGCGCGTCGCGACGCCAGAATATACAATACCGCGCCGATATAATTGTACAACACCCCCGTCGGAGGTATCATTCCGTAATCTATGTAGTCCCGGTCGAATGGGGGATTATGTTAAGCGATGCGTGAGCGCGGCCACAGTCCACGGCAATCCAGGCGTAACAGAGATACTGCTCGGTGACGTTACACTCGCGCACACGCGCGTATCCCCGCTTATGTACGCACTCTGCGATTATGTATTTCGCACATAAGCGCACATACACGTACATACGACCGATGCATTGTGTATTTGTATATCGTAGCCGATACGCCCGCGCGACGCATTACCGCGGTGGCGATCGCGGACTACTGAGGGATGAACCTCTTTCCCCTCCTCCCCGGAGATGGATCTGTCTAGATACTAGGGAGACTTGAGATACCGTCGCAAGTGACTGCTTCGTAGAATAAGTTTGATCGGGAATATCCAGTGAATTTGTTAAAAAAAGTTTGTCAAAAAAACTTTATCCTTCGTCAAAAGACCCCCCCTGCCCCGAGAAATTTGTTGCCATTAGATAAATCATTGATTAAACGTCAGGCTGAAGTGGTCGTAAATCGTCTTTAAGCTTAAACGAGAAATAGTTTTCCGCTATTTGTTCGCGTCTCTGACTCTTAATTTATCAGAAGACTTTTATTTTGAGTGACGCATCCGTTAAAGATTATTTTAGTGTCTCGACATTCGAGAAAAATTCAAATTCAAGTCACTACTTTATAATTCTGCACAATACATTTTACGTCACGCGACGTACTAACAAAGACATATTCTTCAAAAGTATTTCAAATTTCAAAATCGTATTAACTCAAGATTTTGGGAAGAAGAAGATCCAACGTCATTTGTTCCTGGATGGACGGAATTTATTGAGAGGTTGCGATATTGCAATTAATAAGTAAAAAATGCGATGGTTTGCCGACGCCGCGGCAAATTGTCAACAATGGCGCACCATGTATGCATTCCGAGTAATGGAGTTTTTGGAGCGATGTATTATTGCGACAATGCACAGACTGTGCGGTGATTTGTCGGTCGGGCGAGGTTGGATATTGTTAAACATAGCTTTTTTTTCCACGAACAAATCGCGATGCGAGCGGTCCATTCCGCGTTATTGAGTCGCACACCCGCGTTCGTTCACGTAGCGTAGTTTGTACAGTCGAGATTCTATTTTTTTAGCGTGTTAAAAATTAATTGTCGTTAAAATGCAATGCCTTTGCAATTATGGGCTCATTTGTTTTTATAAAAGATACTTCATCTACCAGTTTACCGGCTGCCACCGTGTCTAATTTAACCTGGATATTTTACATCTTCATTAATCCCTCTCTTATTAATATAATACAATTACGTCTTCTCTCCTGATTTTCTTACATTCATGTTTAATATATTATAAATATACATGAGTGAGGTATATAAATAAAAAATAGTAGAAATCTCGTTTTACGGAAAAGCAAAGTCCTCGAATCTGAGGCCATCTTACATTTGCGTTATGAACGGAGATCTGCTCGAATTTAAAGCGAGGTACATTTTATGAGACTGTTAAGTATTAAATCGAAAAGCTTGGAAACGCCCTCCGTTTCGACGGGAATTTATGTCCGTATTCATTATAGCAACAGTAAAAAGACGGCTCCTTTAAGGAGCCCTCGTCTACGAAGCAATAAAATGGGTCCGTGTGATCATTTTCTAAAAAGTGCTGCGTATACAGATTTTTTCTCTAAAGCCTATCATGCTCGATCAAAACCTCGATTCATAAAGAATTCGAAATATACAAGAAGATATTTTATACGAGAAAAATGTATTGAAATGTTTTTATTATATAAATGAATATATGAGTATTTTAGATAAATTATGCTTCGATCAAAAGACACTTCAATTTCACAATTAGATATATTACATCTAATTATGTTCGCAATTTTGAAATATCTTTTGATCGAAGCATAATTTATCTAAAAAAATTCCAAGAAGAGAGCATAAAGTGAATATAAAATTACAAACTTTACGATGAATATGGAATGAAATGAAATCAACTTGCCCTAGATTCGAGTGAAAAGTATTATCAGCTGTGACTTTTAAGATATTTTTATCTATTACGATTTAATTAACATTTTAAAATTTTACGTTAGATATTTAAGTAATCAGAATTCTAATTACATTTCTATTTGAGTAAAACTCTCGAAATGGAAAACGATTTGAAAAACGATTTGGAAAACGATTTGATATTTTACCACCTATCCCTTGTTAATTAAGAATTTTTTAATAAACGCGTATTTATTTTTTAATATTTTTAAAATATTGTTGTATAATAATATTTTTGTAAATAATGATAGAGCGCACAGATTTTATGGTAAAATAACCTAAGCTAAAAGATATGTTATTTCATTTAATAATTATTTAATATTGTATATATGTTTGTCGAATTGTGCCATAATACGTTTAAATAAAAATGTCAACTTTGACATTTCTGCACTTTTTAAAAACAATATTAATTTATGTATAACATGGCATATATAACAATATGCCAAGATTTATCGTGTTTCTATATTTGCTTTAATATATTATAAAATTGCAAATTTTATTTCTATTTTTTTCCTAGTCACATTTTGTCAATCATTTGTTATGAAGAGTTTAAAGCTAACTATTGATTTTCATATTATATAACTAAATTAATCCTACTCTCTACGTCAGAATTTATATTCCATATTCTATGTAATCACGTTCTTCGTTGATGTTCTAATTTCCCTTTAATTATAGACATTAGAATCTATTTTCCTTAATGCAGAGCTTATTATGCGTACATTTTCTTGTTGGAACAAAGAACGAAGGAAGAAAGGCAATAGCGAATGTTGGACTTTACGATGTACTTCGTATCCTCCTTATTACAATTATACAATAGGGAAGAAAAGTAATGTTCACAAATGAGTTAAATATATCGCGGTATTAGCATGAAGTATTTTTAATTCTCAAATCTTTAGAAGAGAAACTGTTTATATGGCATATTAACAATATTCAAAACTCAAGCTTTGATTGCAAAACAAATATTATTTTATCGCGTATTAATTGCATGCAAGTTTGCCATTAATTCCCATCAACTATCCTGGTTATCTAACTTCCGATAATTATTATAAGAATATTTAACTATTAATGCGTTACAATTTTTTGTTATATCAGATGCTTTTTTATCGCGCGCGATATTAAAGTTATTTTAAAAATCTCCGCTACAACGTACGGTGCTTCTGCCGGTACTATTAATGTAGCTTAAACGATTGTCATCATATTCAGCGTGCTACAACGTGGAATGTATTATATTTCCATGAGAAAAGCTCGTCCCCTGTGATATTGCCCGAATGCTCCCGCGAAGATTTACCTTCGTCCCAACGAAAACATTTATTCTGCATTACGTAAAAGTACCTTTATGTTATAATTTCTGCTATGTAACTCGCGCGTCTTGTAATATTTATTTTGCTCAGCGAGAA